TGGGGTAATCAGGATGGGTGTGTCAGAGGCAATGCGATTGGGACAGGACAGAGCAGGGTTTAGAGCTGTTGTACACAAGGTCGCTATAAGTCGCCAGCGACTCTACGCCACATAACAAGGGGTGAACGAGATCTGACTTCAACCACAGACCCTAAACCCCATTCCAGATAATGGTATAGGATCGGGAGAATCAGAGCTCAAACTCAAACCGCAGAAATGTGCTGACTTTCTTTATCCTCAATCTTCTGCAGAGAGAACTACCCGGCCCGGTCTCATATAGATGGATATTTCAGATGTAGCCGGGATAAATGAACACCAAAGTTCTACTCAGCATGGCTCGCCCTACCTTGGCCTCCCGCCACCGCAGACCTTCCACCTTTGTTCCACTTTCCGGTAGGTCTATTGAACCTTCTAGGCTCTAGATCCCCGGAATGCCAGAGTCGCCACAGTACTAGCCCCTCCTCCTTCCTTGGGTCACGAGCGCCGAATGCATCGAACGCAGCCAATGGGTGATGCGACGGCAGCGCCGCGGGAGGTTCGATTGACTGGGCCTAGCCGGCAGTGCAGTCTAAGCGGCTGTTAACGCGCGCTTTGGGGAGAAGATTGAAGGAAGACCACTTCAGCTTGAAGCCTTTCTTCCCCTCTTTTCTTTGCTGACTGCGGTCCTTTCTGATTCTGGGTGTTTTGCCTGCCTCTCCTGGCGGGCTACCACTCAACCTCTCACACTTTGGGCCTGGGATTCCCACTCCACACCGGGAAAGTTACACTTCCCTGGGTTGTGGCTCTCGCCCTTTCCAGATCGCAGATTTTCAGCCTAAACTCCCTCTGGCCCTAGGATTGCCCTTTTCTTTTACTGTCTTATCCAGTCTTTGCTCATTCTAGGGTCCCGCCTGCTTGAGCCCATTCCTCTTTTACTTGTTCCTCCGCCTCCGCTAACTGGAGGCTAACGTTCGCCCTGTTTGGGCTCAAACTGTAATCGTTGGCTTGTTCTGCCTCCCCTTCTCATCACAGGCCATACGGCTGATTTGATGAGTCCATCCTCGCAGTGATATAGTAAGTTATGGCTTTCTCACGCCCTGATCCTGCTTTCTAAACTGCTGTGTGCTTTGGACCTTTGGCTGATGGGTACTTGACATTTCTAGCTCCCGGATCCAGGATGGTAAGTGTAGCTCAGTGTTGTTAGGGTCAGACCAGGGATTAACAAGTGCGACCAGAGGTAGTCTTGTGTCTGGACCTAATGGGACAAAGTTGCAAGACCTTGAAGGTGCTAAATTTATAATCTTCTCTTACAGAGGAGGAGCTTAGCTCCCAGCCAGCTGGCTAAAAGAAACGGTGGGGGCAAATTATCAGATGATGAAGACTGGAAGCCTGAGGCTGTGGTGAGTGCTTTGGCCTTAGGGAAGATGCTGATGTAGGGCTGTTTGGGCAGAAAGAAAACCAGATCTGGGTTTGGGGACAACATAGGATGAACTTGGTCACCTCCTGAAGTCTTTTTAATATAGCCAGTATGTTTTAACGAGTGCTTACTATATGCCAGGAATTGTTACTATGTGCCATTGTGTTGGAACCAACCCATACCTTACCCTCCAGAAGCAATAAATCTCACTGGAAAAGATTGCCCACCTTTTTCTCCCCGAGGAGCAACTGTTAGATTTGAACCCTTATCTTTGTTTTGGCAGCACAGTTCCTTACCACTAAGCTGCCAGGCATTAAGTAAGATAATAAAATCTTAATTTCCAGGTTAATACACTCTCTGTTCTATTGGAAAGGATATCTCAAAGCAAAAGCGCTTATTAGGTTAGGCTCTTTATCTTGAGGAAAAAAGGCTTCCCAGCAGCAACTAACAACCAACCAGCTCTTTGCATCCTGCCCCATGTCACAGAAAAGTAGGTATGTTCTGGGCCCGCCTGAGTACTGAGCTCACCAGTAACATAGTTGTAAGGCCTTATGTCCCTCTTGCCCCAGCTCATATTCAAGTACAATATGTTGGACTTTGAATTGGTTATCTTTCTGGGGTACCTAACTCTCATTGCTTTCAAATCAAAAGTGACTCATAGTTGACCCTCTCCACTGGGTTTCTGAGGCTATAAATAGCATAGGAGGAGATAGCCCATCTTTCTCCAACATGCCCCATGTAAATTAAAATAAATAGGACGTTATATCCACAATCAACACTCTTGGTATCAGCAGCCAGGAAATCAAACGACAAATTGAACTGGGAAAGTCTGCTGTCAGGGACCTCACCAGAGTACTGAAGAGCAGTGATGTCAGTCTGGAGAAAAAGGTGTGCCTGACCCAGGCCATAGCCTTCACAGTTGTTTGGTATGTGTCAGAGAGCTGGACAATGACTAGGGATGACAGAAAGAGAATTGATGCCATTGAGCTGTGGTGCTGGAAAAGAGTATTGTGTATACCATGGACTGCCAGGAGAACAAACAGGTTCTTCCTAGAGAGGGTGAAATCAGGCTGCTCTTTGGAGGATTCTGAACCTTTGTCTGACATACTTTGGGCATGTTGCAAGAAGGGACCAGTCCTTGGAGAGGGATATCATGCTTGGAAGGGTGGAGGAACAGCACACGAGTGGAAGACCCTTGAGGAGAGATGGATTGAGTCAGTGAGTGGGACAATGAGGATAGGTGTGTCAGAGACAGTAAAGTTGGCACAGGATAGAGCAAGTCTCACGACTTGTACATAGGGTTGCTATGAGTCACAAGTGACTTGACAGCACATAACAACAACAACGTCTTGGAGCAATTCAGCAAGCAAGGGTTTGTCCATTGACATTTTAGAGGAAAGGACTAGAAAGGACTTTTGTCCAGGGAACAGAGTGTGAGTAAAAATAAAGGGAAAAGGGCTTGGCATTTTTATTTCAAGTATATCTTATAGGAATTAGGTACCTCTCCAGATACCGAAGAGCAGTGATGTCTGTCTGGAGGCTGAGGTGTACCTGATCTAAGCCATGGTTTTTGCAATTGCTTGCTATGTGTCAGAGAGCTGAACAATGACTGGGGATGATAGGAGAATTGATGCCTTTGAGCAAGGTTTAAGGCTGTTGTACATAGGGTTGTTATGAGTCCCAAGCAACTCCACGACACAGAACAACAACCACAACCACAAACCTTATAGGATCGTAAGCAGTTCAAACACCTTTACAAACTGGTACAAGTGGTCTGATGGTTTGGTGGCAATTGGTTGGTAGCTGTACTGCTATTGAGGTGGTTTCTTTTCTTTACCTGTGAGCTCCTTTACCTCCTTTGCTGCTAGTTTCTCCTAAAAATACTTCTGGTGCTAGAGTGCTCACTGCCATGATGCATGCAGACTGATGCCTCGTTAGTAGGAGAGTTGAAGGCAACTGTACCCTTGTCCATCCCTTGAAAACTGAGGGAGGAGGCATGTGGTTATCTAATCATCCCTTGAGACTTTCGGAGGAGGCATTTTGACTCCATAAAATTGGTAGGCTTGCTCTTCACAGACCCAATTCATCCCTCTCTCCAGTATCTCTTCTTTAGATGTCGTTGTTAATGTGCCGTCGAGTCACCTACAACTCATAGCAACCCTGTGTACAACAGTCCTAAACCCCGCTCTTTCCTGTGCCAATCATATTGTCTCTGACACACCTACCCCCATTTACCCCAGGCACTGAATCAATCCATCTCATCGAGGGTCTTCCTATCTTGCACTCTCTCTCCACTCTTCCAAGCCTGGCGTCCCTCTCCAAGGACTGGCCCTGCCTTGTAATATGTCCATAGTATATCACGAAGCTTCAGAATCCTTGCCTCCAAGGAGCAGCATGGTCTCACCTTCTCTAGGACAAACCTGTTTGTTCTCTTAGCAGTCCATGGTATATTCAGTACTCTTCTCCGGCACCACAGCTCAAAGGCATCAATTCTCCTCCTGTCATCCCTAGTCACTGTCCAGCTTTCTGATGCATAGCAAGTAATTGCAAGACTATGGCCTGGATCAGGTGCACCTGATTCTTTTTTTTTTTTACATGCCAGAATAAATTATATTTACTTATATACTGAAGGGAAAATATATAATCATTTACAATGGTTTTATATTATCATTGTGGTTTTTACCAGTTTTGTTTCTGGAAATGCAGTTCTACATTTTGTTTAATGTGTGAGTAGTGGGTTGAATTATCAATAAACTTAACTCTTTTTTTTATTACTTAGGAAAAAAATACAGTGACATATGGCAGTAAAACTTACCATAGACTTAATTAAGATACTCAAGTAAATAATGATTGAAAGAATTCTAACTGATCAATGATAAAATTTAGAAAAGAATGAACTATCTGAAGTAGTACTTCATAAAATCTATCAAAACTGCATAAGGGATAATTAATTTGCCCATAAATCTCTAATGTTACATTTTGAATAGTAAATATATTCTTTTTGTTTGGGTAAATAATTTTATAAGTTTGACTACAAAATTAACTCATTGTTCTAATTAGTTTCCAGTTAATTTTATAATTACCCTTTAATCTCTAGGCATGTAAATGGTCATGCAAACAAGCATGTTATTGTTCATACATTCTAATATAACCTGATAAAGCATCATCTTAATTTTATTTTATTTTATTTTTTTTTTTTT